TGCAGAAAGTTAGTAAAATTAGAATTACTACCATTTGCGCAACAAAAACTACTTCAGACCTTGGCAAAGTTACATTGTTACAAAACTTCCATGATTTTTTTTCACTGTTTGTCTCGTTATAAACAAACTCTGTTACTAATGTTGCGTCAGGTTCATCTACTGCTGTTGTTGCTTCTGACATTTGAGAAACTATTTATTCTACAGACTGCGTTAGACTTTTTCTCTCTGCGAATGAAGCTTGTAAAAAATTAAATTACTTTTGAGAACAGTAAAAAATTTCATAACGTGTGAAATCTCTATCATTTATGTCATGCATTTCTAAAACAAAGTTTGCTGGGATATTTGCGGTTTTTTTGTAGTACATTATTTTCTTCACAGTATCCTCTTTCACAATCGTCTTAATCTCATCTGGCAATTCACTGCTGTTTAGATCCATCTGAACTCCTGGCTGACGTTTGGGTACTAAGACTAGTTCGGGAAGACATACTCCTCGCTTGCTGGCTAACATTTCTGATAAACTTGAATCTCTGGAAGTATACAAATTGATCAATAACTGGAAAAAACCTCTTCAACGTAGACAACTCTTCTTCGGAAATTATTATTTGCTCCTTCCTCTGAACAATTTGGCCACTGCAATCAATACGCTCTATTCTCGTTAATGAAATTTTAATATCACCCTCTGGAGTCATCCACGCACAAAGCATTGAATTTGGTGATAGGTATGTCTCCACTTTCGCTGATCTCTCGCTGTTGTTCATTTTTCAACCAATCATAAAAAACCTTGGTTTTCTTCAAGGCACAATGATTCCTGGAGTTGTAATGTGGAATATGTTTATTGCAACTTGGATAATTTTTAAAACATAAGTTTTCAACCCGAGGACAGCCCAAATCATCTAGGTTTTCAATCTTTCGGTCCAAGTACTTGGCCAAAAATTCTGTCTTTTCTTTTCCTTTAGCGTAAAAAACGGCACCAGGATTTCTCAGCACAAAACTCTGAAGTATTTGATTCAAGTTTATATAAAGATAATCACCGTTTTCCCAATGGAGACCGTGTAAATAATTAGTTAACCAGTTGTAAGCTTTTTGTTCAAGCTTTGGTAGTATATTGAAATTCACTGGAGGTAGGAAAATGAGTCGATCGCTGTAGTCTGAAGTTGTTATTGCTAATTCTTTAACCACAAAGGCGTTTTTCTTGTAACGAAAGCCTTCCACATCAAGCACAACTGATCTCTCGCCTAGCATTCTAGTAAATGATAAACTTCTGGTTTTTTCAACTTAATGAAAAGGCAGAACGCTATTCCACTCAAATGTCCCAATAAGCTGTTGTTACAGTTCCAGGGCAACATGTAACAGTACGTGGGACCCTGTTGATAAAATTCGTGTATAAATCCGGCCGCATCGTGCAAAATAGCGTGCAATCGTAAAATTTTGGAATTTTTCAAATATTTGTCCAAGGAAGAGTTATCAATACCAATCAAGCCACCATAAGGTCTCAACTTAATTAAAATGTCGTAGTTAAGGTTATCAGAACTAACAAAAAACAGAGAACATGCAGCTAGAAAATAGTTGCGTCGGTTAGAATTATCAGGATAAGTTTGTTTCAAAGACGTATAAATTTCGTGAATTATTTTCAAATCAATAGGAGTTACTCTGCTTTTTTGCAATTTCATTATTTATTTTTTCCAACACCTCTCCAACCTGCTGAATTTCAAGCCAGTGGAAATAAAAGTGACCTTGCAAATACCATTTAGACTCATTAAGATAACGGTGGTAAATAATTAAATAAACCACCGGAAGTTTTTTGTATTTTGATAGCTTGTTGAAACATAGACGGATTTTTCTCTCCAAGTCTTTATCAACCCATAATGAGTTAAAGTCAAACGAATAGTCGAAAACGTTTTCATAATCAGCAATATTCAAATCGCTCACAGTGCCATACTTTTGTTTTGTAGAAATGCACCAAGAGATTTGTTGAAGCTCACTCAAATAAAATTGTTCTTTGAAAATCAACTCGTATTCTTTCTTTGAAATTTCCTTTGCCCTTTCGAGGAAGACGACGTAGCGTTCATTACATAATTTGAAAAATGAGTTTTTTTCTGCGGTTGAAAACACTCTTAATTGTAAATGTTCATTATCAATATCTTCAGTACACCAAGTTCCCTCTAATTTCATTTTTCTTATTTCAAAATTTGACAATTTTATCATTTGGTATATTTTGCCCAGAAACGGCCGCCGCCTTTTGAGAGTAATTTCAATTTACTGCCTTTTCACCATAAAATTTAGGTCAAGTTAAGGAATTAGTTTACTGCTGCCAACAGTTAAGCTACGCTGCCAAAATGGCCGGCGAATTTTTATTATATACCATAAAAGTCAATTCCCCGTTCACTAACAAATTTCAACTAGGTCGAAAGTTCATTTACCCTAAACAAGCATAACAATTAATATGATTCATATAATTAATCAGGACCAATAATTAGGACCCCAAAATTTGGAATTAGAAAGATTTTTGTATCGTGTCCCTTGTTGTTAAGCTAAACTTAGCAAGATCCTAAGTAGGGGGTCTTCTGCTTTTTGGGTGGAAAATCTCTTTCGTTTACAAAATCCTAGGATGAGGGTCCTCCAAAAAATTAAGGACCCCTTTCCTAGGATTTTGCTTTACGTGAGGACCCCCCCCTTAGGAAGGACCCCCCCCCCCCCCCTTAGGATCCGGGACACGATACAATACTACTGCCCTGAAGGATTCCTGGATTTGGTTTGCCCCACGCATCGAACACTTTCAGAGCATCTACATTCCTTTTACTGTAGTGTTCTGCTATCAACAGATTGTCACCTTTGCACTTGCCCGAAATGTTCATGTTGCTTTGATCGAGATGTAGAAATGTAGAAATCAATTGCATGGCGTCGAAGTTTTCCAGGACATCGAATGCTTCCGCCTCGACTGACAGCAACTCGATCGAAGTGGCGCCAACAATAGTCAAAAAAGGGAAAACAAGGAATATCTTCATAACACTCATTATACTTATAGAGTACCAACAAATCATAAGAGACTGATTGCTAGATGCTACATCTGCTTGTTTACAGAGCTATTGGAACGAAAATACTTTAGATGGAGATGCGTTAGCGAAGGTGTTTTGTAATAGAGACTGGTCAATATTTGATTCTCATGAGTTTTGATTTCATTTCATTTTACTTTATTCACATTGAATGCCTTTCCTTAGACAAAAACAATTCATCAGGTGGACCAAGTTACAAAACAACAAACAATGGCTGAATATCAAACAACTTAGTGTAAACAGTTTCGAAACCCATCTCTCAACTTTAAACTTTTGCCATTTCGTCTGTCTAAATAAAGGTTAAATTCGCATTATGTGAATTACAATATTTATAAAGCATTAAGACAATTATTCAAAAATTCAAATTGAGTAATTAGCAAAACAAACAACTGAATAACTCTATACACATAACCAAAAATGGAAGCTACACATATTTACATGATGATAATTTATAATCCTTATTGCACCATATGAGAAGAGAAATACAAGCATTTCCTGTGCAGCAACATAGTCCTCTTCCTTAGAACACTTGACACGATCACTTGAAAATGTACTAACACTAGCCAGCAGTAAAGCAGCTACAGATGGTATTAAATTGTCGATGCTGTGCCTTGAAAAAAAAACCAAAAGAGCACTTTTATTTGCGGGCTGGAAAACAGAAGTTTGCATAACGAACTTAAAAAAAGAAAGGGCCGAAAGACAGTTGGAAAAGAGTCATGAACGCCAGGAACTAGAGAAAAAATTATGACTTGTTTTTTTTTTGAAAAAAAACTTTAACTTGAAAACTTCAAAAAAAAACTTTCAAGCTCTTTGAGTTTCAAGAATAATTGATGATTTATCTTTTTTCAATAAAATTAACCAATTTGAGAAAAAACGGATCAATAGGTTATGAGTTATTGCTAGAGGTATCATACTCATAGAGTAATTTCAAATAAGGCACACCGTCTGTTCGTCACGCTATCTTATTTTCGGCAGGATATTCGTGCAACTTCTTAGTCTAATACCAATCTTAATACTCTTATATCTCCTAGTCGCAATAGATCTAGTGTATAATGGTATTCGCGAGTTAGGTTTATGGAACTTGTTCCAAAGGAGAACAACTGTCTTCTAAGATTTGTTCAAATTCTTCTGTTGCTGAAACTACAAAAAGTTTCAGCACTACAAATAATTGTCAGCGTTAGTTATGGATCATGATTGGTTAGAAAGGAATATTTTATCGTGATAGTTTTATCAAGAATATAATTGGTTATAAATACTTGTTTTAAACTGGTTCCAGTTAGCTTTTTACTCCGCTGGGAAATCTGATAATTGAAATACCAATTCGAAACTAGACCTTTATTTGACCTTTGAGCTTTTGCTATTCAATAGTCGAGTTTGCCTTCCTTCCAGCAAAAAAAAGAAATGGATTTAAAAAGAAATCAAAAGTCCAACAGCGAAAAAAATCAAACTTTAGCGTGAACAAGCTTAATTAATTTTTCCTGAAAACAAAAACAAGGAAAAAATTCACCAAGACCTATATAAGAGTATTCACTACTTTCATGTTTATTAATTAATGCTGGAATTAAATTTTGAGATATAGTCTCAAATTTCAGAGCCCAGCAGATTAGCTTGTTATATAAATATTCTTATCCCAGCTGGAACCACGCGGTTCAAATCAGTTGCCTGAGTGTGAAGCAACATTTCTCACACAGAGACAAAGCCTCCAGGAGCATTAAAAAGCACAACAACTGACAAATTTTCAAGTAATATATTGAAAGTAGTAAGCTGAAGACAACCACGCTAACTTTGCATGCAATCAATTAGTGTATTAAGCTAAATTGCGTTAGCATTTCAAAAAACTCGCGAGGTAATTCGAATTGGAAAATTTCTTAAATGATTTTTAAACAGCTTTATTAAAAACTGCTTTGTTCGGTTTCAATTGAAGAATCAAAAAAGCATCATCTGTGTTAGTTTATTGCTAATCAAATGTAACCTAATGCTAACCTACTAACTCATAAGTTCCACTAAAAAGTGGAACTTTTAATTGCAATTTTGGTTGAAAAAAAAAGATGCATCGTACTATCACACTACGCTAGGTTCGTGTAAACACAGTAAATTAACCAAAAAAGCAAAAATTTTTCATTGCGGTCACAACAGCAGTTCTCCGCAAAGAGCTCAAAAGCTCCTATGTTAATAAAATGGCCTTTATTTTAAGATACTGCTATGAGACCTCGTTAAGAAAGGTTCTGCGAAGATGACAAGGCTACGTTTGATGTGCACAGTCAATTACATAAAAAGGTTATGACGGTGAAAGTGGAAGGAGTTCTTCGTCATTCACAACTTGAGATAATCTGTTGTTAAGTTTTCCTGCGCATAATCTATTACAACAAGACTTCACTGACGACAAACAATGCACTGCCCTGTCTTCGCATGCACCCCGCAACTTTTCTCCTTCCGACACTGCCGGTTCTGCTTGGTGGGGGAGGAGGGGTAGGTTTTCGTTCTCGTCTTCTTCGACACAGCAGCACATTGGAATGACCAGATCTTCTAGTATTATCCAGACACCCATAAGTCCAATGAACAGTTCAAGCAGGCAGAGTGTCTGAAACAGAGCAAACTTGGAACCGTTAATATTTAAAACTTCGATTGCAAGAACTATTGAGTAAAAACCGTTAATAATTATGTTATGTTTAACATTTGAACAATACGCTTCACAAAAAACCATCTCAAAATTACTTGAGTGGCACGGAAAAAAAAATCCGAAAAAATTGCGAAAACGGTTATAGAAATAAGTTCAATGTGACCTTAAGAACGTAATAAGGAATGAGATGTTCGTTGTGGCCGAAGTCAATCAGTGGCTGACTGCAGGTCAAGTTCATTGATAGCGTCTTCAGGTCATCAATGTCCAAACTCTGCGCTTCCTCCACCAATCTGAACATGCCACTCGTATTGCTTTAACGAATGAGTGAAACTCCACTAATTTGATGTATGACATTTTTCTGCGGAGGAACGAGTGAAAAAGAGCACCCTAGGCTTGCATTGGAGCAGTGCACAAGTTCGTCAATTAATCCGCGAGTACAATATTCAGTTGGTCAGTTAGGGCGAAAAATTGTACACTTAAAAGAACAAAGTTCGCGCTTTTCTGATTAGTTTAAAAAACAAACCTAAAAACATTTCATTTTGCAAAAAATCACAACTAACTTGATTCTCTTAGCAACTTCCTCGTGAGGCAGTGGTGACCCATGAAAAGTCAATCTCCAGTAATGCAGGACTGCACATGTTTTAGACTGTTCTCCATACTTATCCAGACAAGCACCATCAGATCCAAATCCCAGCGTCTCCTTTACAGTGGCAAGAAAATCTGATATGGATCCTTGTGAGATACGACCGTGTTTAGCGAACGGTTCAAGAGTTAGGGTAAGCTTCCACGCACCCACGGGTGATTCGCCAAAGAAATGCAGAGAGTTGAAGTTGAACTGCAAAAGTTGCTCATCTCTGAAAACAAAACAAAACAAAAACTGAAATACTTCTTTCGGGCATTAGAACTCAAAGCAAACTTGAAATCCTATAAATGGGTCTGAAGCTTAATGGCCTCTTTAATACGAAAAAGTACTCTTATTCAAGTTTTCTGTGCGATTTCACTTCAATAACAAACTGCTTTGTATATCAAAGCAAAGTTTGGAAATAATTAGAAAATGCACCAGAAAATCTTGAGCCAGGGACTAAAATTGAGTCTTTTTCTTAAAACCAGCCTTTCAAAACAGACATCTGCTTACAAATCGTTCTTGCGAGTGGGTATTAGACGTGATTTGGAGCCTGCTGGGGAAGTCAGCACCCCTGAGATAGCGCCTCTCGCTGGAGCCCAGGCCTTGATAGTCAGGACGACCTGTTCTATAGTGTATAAGTAGAACTCACTCGACGTTTCTTCATTTACTAAACACAATGAGGGCCTATTACCTTCAATAACCCAGCACCTCATTCAATGATAAACTCGACCTTGATGCGCTTAGCTCAAGAGGAATAATACTGAAACAATGTTTGAATAAATACCAAGAACAACTTGTCAAGTAACGAAGCTGCACTTCAACGGAAGTTTGCTTATTTGATGCCCGAACTGTACTACTTTTATAGGCTGACTGATTCGAATAGCAACTCGAATTTTCACAAAATTAACGAAAGGAGCGCTATTATCTTGCCAGAAAACTTTCAACGAACCGACGCTCTTAGAAATGCCCAAAACTGGCTGAATTTCACGCTTTTTTCATTCCAATTTTTAAACACAGGCGAAGCTGAGCTTCGCACCATTTGCAATACAAAACAAGAAAGCCGCTAAATCGAAAAAAAAGCAAAAATGTCGAAAAACTAGATCTATTCAAAAGAACAAGTCTAGTTTGAAACAAAAACATGTCAGGACAATAGAATGTGAAATAAGGATTACGTTTCAAATGGCATAATTCCCAAATGACATAAAAATGAAAAATTTCCCAAATGGCATAAATTTCATGCAACAGTTGCATTGAAAAAGTCGAGAGCAACTTTTTTGTGAAAAATGTGAGGAAATTAGTCAATTCAAATTTTGTTGACCTTTCATCTGGAAAAATTGTAGAATTTTTTTATCAAAAGCGAAAAGCATAAGATTGCGGTTATTGATAAGCGTCTTGTGCTCAAACGCATAAAATTTGTTTGGAAGCAATTAATTCCAAATACTGTTCACATGTTTTCGTTTTTGGCAAAATATTAGAATTAGATACTGAGAGAAAACGTTTAAACTACAATGAAAACTTGAAATGTATGCCATTTGGGAAAAGTTTCTTTTTTATGCCATTTGGGAATTATGCCATTTGGGAAGTTACCGAAATAAGCATCGGAAGAAGGTTTACCAAAAGTAACCAAGCCAAAAATACTTTAACAATACTTAAGATTTTAGAAATATTAAAAAAATCCCCCTCGCCCTCAACACACACAAAACTTAACTTGCTCGTCAAATGAAGCAGTATGAGGTCACTAAGCCGATATTATATAGGCCGAAACCTACTAACCTAATTTAAAAAAGTAATAACAAAAAAATCCAAAAAAAGTTGTATTAAAAACATTTAGGTCTTCAACCTCAAACCACACGCACATACGTTTCCCCTCGTCGAAAGTCGCAATATTAGACCATTAGCCGATTTATTATACGCCGAAATCTATCAAGCGGTAAGAAAAGAAAAAGGGCTGTGATGAACAACTATAATTTCTATTAAGGTTTTTAACATTTTGTGCAATCCGGCAAGAAGTTCCTGAAAAAAAGTATATTTATATATACAAACAATGTCAAGGTTAGAAAAATTACTGACAACAGAAAAAAATCAAAACCCTAAAATCAAGTAATTTAATTTGCGAACAGTAAAAAACAGCAAAAAAACTCGACGAAACATGTGCAGAAACGTGATATTTCGCGTTAGTAAAAAGTAAATCTGGTCACATTTGAGCCCAAAAACTTTGCCGTCCCAAGCGTTTTTGTTACCTCCAGGTCAATTGTTCTGGAGACGCAAAGAAATGTGAAATCAATATGAGCTGAAACTAAGACTACCATTTCTAATTTTGACCTTTTTGTGAACAAACTTATTTAGTTGAAAAATGTCTAGTACCCGATAACAGTTCCCGTATTTATGGCTGCGCTTCGCAAACACTAGCGAGAACACGACAAAAAGCAGCTTTATAAGGTGAAAAAGAAAAGGTAGAAATAAGCCTCGAATTAGTAAACCTTTGCTACGTATGGCCTTCGAAGCTGGGACCTCATAAATCGGATTCTCACGTCATGGCCTCGCAGCCACGAACGGTTAACAACCGATAAACACTAGACAAACAAAGCAGCTATATATGCTAACAAATTGCCAATGCCATGCAGCGAAAGTGGCAACATATACAAATAGACACAATAAACAAGTAATAGTTTGGAATATAACAAACTGAAGGCATCCAGAATAATGTCGCATGTAACAAATTGTAAAGCATAACACCAAATTATGTGTAAAATATGCATTTAAAAAATTGCGAGATATATTGAGTTAGAAAATATCTGAAAGCGAAGTTTTTTGATTGTTACGTTGAGTTAGAAAATATCGAGTTAGAAAATATCTGAAATCGAAGTTTTATGATTGTTATGTTGCTTGAAACAAACAGCTTTTTTCGGTTCATTTTGAAATTACAAAGAAGCGAAGCTTCACTTCGCAAACACTATCGAGAACACAACAAAAAACAGCTCTAGAAAATTCTAAAAAAAACAAAATACAAATAAGCCTCGAATTAGCAAAAATTCGACTAGGTCTAGGATTTGATATGCGACCTACTGCAATCAAGAATATTTGCTAACCAGGCACTAACCGCTAAATCATGAGCTTTTCTCACGCACTAACCACCGACAAACACTAGTCACGAATAAAGCAGCTACATATGATAATAAATTGCCAATGCATTTCAGCAAAAGTGGCACCAAATACAAATAGACTCAATTTTTCGAGTATTAATTGTGAATATAACAAGCTGAAGGCATCCACACCAAATTTGCGTGAAGCAAATTGCAAAGCATAAAGCCACATGATGTATAAATTATGCATTTAAAAATATTGCGAGATATATTGAGTTAGAAAAATTCGGAGATAGAGTTTTCATGATTTTTGTTGTTTTTCGGTTCATTTGATAAATTAAAAATGCTGTGTTGATTTATTGCTTTTCGAATGTCAAAGCACACGCTATGAAGAAGCTGTAAAGGTGCCCCAAAATTGGCACCAAGATTTGCGACTTAGGTTAGAAAAAAAGTAGTAGTATAACACTAACGCTCACTAAAGTTGCTAGTGTAATTATAAATTTGGATTGGGAAACTTAATTTTCGAGCGTGTGGCCATGAAAGATTTGCTCTAACAGAAGGACTTACGGTTGTAGGTGACTTCTAGCTCATCGTGAACTGTGAATTTCAAATCACCATCTCCATTCAAAACCGGTGTAGAAAATATCGTCATCCAGGGAACTCCGGGCCATACCAAAGCCGCTTTGACCAGTCTAGTTGCAGATAGGATTCCGAAACCGTGTTTGTTCGTGTGGTACAGCCCGGCTCCATTCAATGACCACGGTTCGCTCACTTCGGCTGTCATCATTGCCACATGTCGACTAGTTAATGCTGTTATCCAGAACACGTCGCGCACAATCAAACAAGGACGCGCTTCGAGAACGAGACCTAGATGAGTTTTATTTGATTAACTCAAATATGTTTCAAGATCAATGAACAGCCAAATTCTAAGAATATAAGCACGAAGACGTCACTTTCGAATCAAGGTGAAAAACAATTTAACTGAATTGAACAGATGAGCAATCATTAGCAATTCGTTCGTTGCCAAAAAAGCACAATTTGAAATACTTTCTAGGAACAACCTCGGAAAGGAAGCTTACTGGAGGGTATCTTAACAAAAACTTTATTATGTAATTAATGTTATCTGGTTGAAAGAGGCCTTTTTATTGAGGGCGACTTTCATTAAGGGTGCCTCATAGTACTTGTCATAGACACAGAGGCAAAGCGGATCTTCGCACCATTTGCGATTCAAGATGAAAATAACAGTTCAAGCTAACAGACAGGAAAAAAGCCACTAAGTCCGAAACAAATTTAAAAAAACTCAAATACACAACAAAAAAATCAAAATGTTGTCTGAAATCATGATTTATTTGCGGAAAAATTTCCAGAAACACAATCGACGGTGTTTAATGAAATTTCAAAATTATTTATCGAGCGGCAACTGAGCCGACAAAATTTAAACAATTTCCCGTAGAACCGAAAATAAAATTATTGGCATGAAAATTATAGATCTATTTTAAGCATTTTAGCATTTTGTGCAATCCGAAATGAAGCAATCCAAAAAGTTATGCTTCCCCTGAAACGACCCTAAATTAGGTCACCAAGCCGATAGAAATAAGCAGAAGTCAATTAAGCTGAAAAAAGTTTTAAAGCAAAAAAAAGCGAAGTAAACGAAGTCATGGTTGGTAAAATTAAACATTGCATGAGTAATTCAAAGCACTTTGTTATGTAAAATCGCGTACAAACAGAGCAATTCTACGATGTGGCAACTAAGACGACAAAACATAAGCATACAAATCATAGGCCGACAATTGTTTTTGGAAAGGAATATTTTTCCAGTGTGAAAAAAAACCTAGGTCAGATTCGAACCCACAACCTCTGCTTCCCAGGCGTATTTTTCACCTCCAGGTTAAGTGTCTCAGATGCATGAAAACTTAAATTCTTAATGAACCTAGATACTAATGATTATGTTAAACAAATTGTTAACCCGGAAAAATCTATAATCGCTGTTGAGATTTGAAGTGATTTATAATTAATCTGGATCAGTTCGTTTTTCGAAAGAAGCTTTTGAAACATAAAAGGTATCTAATTTGTTTGAGAGTGCTTTTTGTTAGAATTATTCACGAATAAAAGCGTTTCTCTAAATTGAGAGCTTTTTCTAATCGGGACGGCTCTGTGGTCATGAAAAAACGTAAGCAATAATGGCAATACTGCAATCTATTCCAATGTTTTTTTCCGCATAGTACTCACTGTATATGCCAGCAGCTAGGGGTGCAGACGCTGATGTTCCAGAAAACGAATCGGTACACCCAGTTCCTAGACCCAACAACCAGTCAGTAGTAGTCTAAAACAAACAGCAGTAAAGAAAACATAACTAACAGGCAAATAGAGAAGTTGTAGGATTCAGGAAAAAGAATCAGCCATCCGACATTGAAAAAGTTTCCATAAAATCCAGAAACAAAAAAACTGCTGATGGAAAATATTTTGGAGTATATTTTATGGCAGACAATTTTGCGATACAACTTATCGATTTTGCGACAACATGATCAAAAGATAATTTTTTATTCCACTGGGACATCCACTTTTGAATCTTACAACCAATCTCGTTTTTCTTTGAACCATTTGTAATTTTTTTATTGAGAGAATAATCTGCCTGAAAAAAGCATGACAAGCTTGATAAATAAACTCAAGCATGGCAAGTTTTATAATTCTTTAAACACGTCCTAATATGTGTCTTCATTGCCGCTCAATCAACATGGCCAACAAACAGCCGGAAAAATGTCAATGAACTCAAGGAAACAGAATATATACTGGCTTGCTTCTATTGAAAACACTCCCAGAAAAAATATGGCATTAAAACTGAATTTCAATTAAAACTTATTTTTTGATAAAATTAACCTAATTTGAGAAAACTGGATAAATAGACAAAATTTATATTTTGCTGGGAAATCTGATAATTAAAATCATGTTCAAAATTGGCAGTTGATCACGTTTTATGTGCTCTTTATAAATTCACTTTTCGATAGTGGAGTTCGCCTTCCTTCCTTTTAAGTAAATGAACTGAACCTAAAAATCAAAAAGTCAAACCGCGAAAATGTGGACTTTTCCTCAAAAAAATCATCACGACCTATATACGAGTCTTCACAACGTTGATTGATTCTTACAAAATTGACCTTTACATGTTTGAAAAAATGTTGAAAATATGATTTATATGTTCATCTCGATATGGATAAGTTCATTTTGAGAAAAACAGGCCTACTAAAACAATTGTCATTGTTTAATTCAAACCGAAAGATAACTTACCAAAAAAAATCGGACTTTTAACCAACCTAAAAACAACAACCTCAAAAATATAGTGTAATTAAAACTCAGATATCCGGAAAATACATCAGTAATCAAAATCCTAGAGTTGAACAAATGATTCACGTGTTCTTGTTGAACAAGTTGTCAAATTGAAAACTGATTACTCTTGTTGTTCCGACCATTTGAAAAATGGGGGAGAACTTTGTATTCGGGCATGCAATCAGCTACCACAAACAACCAGCGCAATGGGTCGAGTGATATGTCACATAAAATCACTTTCAGTCGTGATTTGAAAAGATTTCCTCAGTGTCGAGAAAAACCGTTGTGAAATTTTTGATATTTGTTTCGAGCTAATAAGGTGAGCTTAATAATGCTTAATTTGTTAAGCCGTAGGAACTTAGTTCACTTGATTAAAACTAGTTTTTGATGTATTTAGCGCCATTTTCGGGATCAAAAACTTCAATAATTCAAAAAATTTCTTCAAAATTTCGAATTTTTTTAAATTATTTCTTTCGTTGAGGTCTTATCACACAGCGCAGAAAAAACTACACTAATTTAAAAAAACTTTAGTTGTATTTTTCACACAGAGGTGAAGCTGTGCTCCGCAAACACTAGCAAGAACCGGACAAAAAGCAACTATATAAAGTTGAAGAGGAAAAATTAGAAATTAGCCTCGAATTAGTAAAAATTCGGCTTTGTCTCGGATTCGAACCTGCGACATACTGCAACCTAGAAATTATGAGTCTCACGTACTACCTACTCAGCCACGGACACTTAATTAATGACAAACACTAGCCAGAAATAAAGCAGAGAACAGATGCTATGCAATTTCCAATCCTACAGTTAAATTTCTATATAAGTGAACACTTTGAATTAACACTTTCATTTGCGAGTTAGGTTAGAAAAAAGGCACATATTGACTATAGTGGGAACATTCTGTGCTACTTGGATAGTAACTGGCTATGCTTGTATATATTGTAGCGATGACACACGTACCACTCCAGGACTGAAAGGAACGGTATACGAGTCTCCTCCACTGTATGCCAGACCCAGCAGACCAGAGCAACTCTCGCAGTAACCAGGAACTTGATCATGACTGTCAATGGCACCTGGGCAATATTCAAATGACTTTTCTTTTTCATCTAAACAGCTTCATCTTTGTATCCCTTTTTCAATCGCCCTATTTTTGCATTTGAAATTGGAGAAATAAATCACATTTTACCTTAAAATTCATTCACATCTTAATACCTTTGATTTGACTGTAATCTTCATTTAGAAGAGCTTCAGCGTACAACTGAAAAAAAAATCTTCCATGGACAAACCAATGGTTAGAGTGTACACAGAGGAGGCGTATCCGTCGAATGCACAGGAGTCTTCGTAGGAAGCACCGTTGCCACTTGCTACCACAATCAAAGCACCTCTTCCATTGCGTCCCACATTGGCCGCATAAATCATGGCCTCCTAGAAAGGAAATGAGTACGTTGAAACATGCGGCAGATTAACAACTTAAGCCAGATTTCCTCACTTTGGAGTGGAAGAAATAGAGTAAGTTGGTTTAATCAACTAAAAAATCACCTCGCACCCAGTAGCCGGACGAGAAGAGAATAGGAGAGTAGAAAGAAGAATTAGCCCTCGACGTGTTCACGAGTATGCATTGGTTCATTCAATCAATCACCCATTACCAACTGACACCGAACAGGTCAAGAGATCTAATCAAGAGACAGAAGAGTAACAGAAGTCAAAGGTGCAACAGAGTTATCTAAGATCATTGAAACAGAGTATTCAAGTCAGAACCGCACTCTGGAACCTAAACCCTTGATAACCTAAAACTATTCATCCACGAAGAGAAGCACTACCATACGAGCTGTTCAGCTCTTTACGAATAACCCTTTCCCCTACTTAACATGAAGACATTTAGAGAAACCGCATTTCATCGCATTTCAGATCAGGTTTCAAGTGAGTTAATTGTCACCCTTAATGTTCATCCCATCAGGGCCATTACAATTATGTTAATCTATTCTTACCTTGGTGAGTTTATGAGGGCCGTCAATAACTGTTCCATTGTCTTTTGGACCCCAGGAACAGCTGTAGATATCGTTGCTATGAAACCCAACATGGTAAGCACGGGATTCTAATGCATCAGTGATTACTCCATCAAGCACGCGGATACCTAAGATAGACAAAAACTTTTTACACTCAAAGAATAACTCGCACAGATGTTTATTTTTTTACGCTTTGCATTCAAAAATTGTGTTTGCCAGCGCCTCACAAGATTCATAAAGCATGCAGATGACTTGCCTCCAATTTTGGAGCGGGGAGCAACGCCGACGCCACACACATTGTTTGCAACAGCTCCAATCAACCCTGCACACCTGTAAACAACAAAAAAATTAAATCATACGACTAGGTTTAAGAAATCTGCATATGAAGACAGTGCCATCCCCCATATTCTGATGTTCAGTAGTTCGACCTTACATCAGCCATCATTATAAACTGAGCAGTCATTGCTTAGTGCGATCTGACAACTTGGATACCTACCGATAAGATAGCAAAAAATGATCGACCAAAATGTGGAACTCGGGAAAACTTTCTAAATGGATACTTCTAGGTGACACGTTTTTTCCGATCACACAAAATTCTGTATGGAAAAGCAAAGCTAGCAGGAATTTCGTGCGATGCAATCATAGAGCCGATTTATCCCGCAGAGTAGCCAAATTCATAAGCCATGTCGGGAACTGACCGTGTCCCGTGATGATTGCCATTCTCAATGTCCAGTCTAGGTGTTGGATCCCCATCTTCTCCATTGAGATCATAGCTGCATTTCCAACACTATACAAAACAATCCATTTATTCTACTGGCTGTTAAAACAAAATCTAGGCTCAAAAATCATGACAGAATTTTCATATAACTTAGTCAATGTTCCCTAGTACCAAGTGTTTGACCTTTTTGCGATAGCGGGAAACTTACTTTTTATAAGCTCAATACGGATATCCGAGAAAAGGCAGCACATTCAAAATAAATAACTGAGATCCAAAGTGAGCAAAAAAAATAAAATTGGGACACAATTGATTGACATAAAATCCATATCCCCGATATTAAATTGGTATCTGAGGAAAACCTTATTGAGATGCTTAATTTAACAACTCCAAACTAATGACATTCTAGGCTATTTAAATCAGTCTAGAAAATGTGCATCAACCTAACTTGTATGTGAAGCGGATTTTTACGCATGACAAGAGAGAAATTAAAATAAGTTTTGGTCTGAACATTTAATGACAAGGAGATGTATGTCACCTAAATCTCAATTTATGATGGCGCTCTCGTCTTATCAGTTCTTTGCCAGGAGTATCATATTTAATTCTTCCAGTATAAAAACATAAAAATTTTTGCTAAAAAATCATAAATGAAGTGGCTCACAAAGTTGTCTTGGATGTCTGGGTTCTCCCACTCCACTCCGTCGTCAATGATGGCGACGTGAGTGTTGTCTCCCAGAATGCCTGCTTCCCACACCTCCCAGCACTCCACATCATTGCCAGGCACTAATCTATTGACCTACAACACAAGTGCTTTCTTTTATAAACGTTTCTGCAGTTTTTAAAGGGATACAGTCGAATATAAAAACGGTGTCGCATTACTATTGGCAACTGAAAAGTTCTTCAAACTCAAGGCTGTATCACTCAAAGTCAAAACACAATTAAGATTGTTTGTATTCTCAGCAATTGTTATCGAAGAAATAATTGACACAAATCCATCCATTATTAGCGGAAAACACAATAATGGAGTTCATGCTCACTTGTCAATACTCCCATTTTGAAAAGATAGGCAACGAGATCAGCTAACTGCTTCATGTCTACCTTTTTTATTATCAAAGAAACTTAAAAAATAAATAAAACACTTTTTATCCACTTGTTTAAGCAAAAATATGATTGATACATTCTCTATTTATATATTCTGTATGAGATTTTCAATTCAACTTCCAGTAAAAAAAAAACCTATTTATTCTGGGTTGCAAACAAGAAACATCACCAAAAGATGCCTATAAAATGCATCCCGTTAATACCCACTGAGAATTCAGAAAATTACGTCCATTTTTGGAGCTAGAAGTCAAGCACGTTTCTTGTGACTGTTACATTTTAGTGTTAATAAGAGGGCTTTGCCTTACTTTTAACCGAAAAAACTCCAACCGCGAAAAATAGAGCATGAACACATTTTAAGACTCGTCCTTTAAAAAATCATCAGGACCTATTGAGTTAGGACCGAGTTGGTTAACTCATAGAGTAATTTCGGATAGGGTACACCGTCTGCTCGTCACGCTATCTTATTTTCGGCCGGATAGATTCGTGCAACTTCTTAGTCTAATACCGATCCTAATCTTACTCTTATACTATCTAGTCTCAGGTTGTTTAACTAGTCTCTGCTAGGCTCAATAGATCTAGGGTATACTGGTTTTATTGCGGCTGCTGAAGTGCTCGGGAGAGTCCAACTAATTTCTAAGTTAAATTCAAATCTCTCTGGTGCTGAAATTACAAGTAACTTCAGCACTTACAAATAAGTGGGTTGTTAGTTAGATGGATCATGATTGGTTAATATTAAATACTTTACATTGGTAAAATATCTAATTTATCCAATCATAAAATGTAGTTTAGATCAGGTTCCACCCATCCGGGTTTTACAGAGTTTTTTAGAATAGTTCTTCTGCAATTCGAAGGATGGATGATGGAAGTTGGTGTTTGGCGAACATCTTATTTCTTCTGTTTCCTTTTTGTTAAAGAAGTTCCAGGAAGCTGGAGTTAGAGACATAAGACGTTGTGTCTTCTAGTGACAACGACTAAGTCTTTGCAACAAACTCAAATCTGATTTCAGAATGGTTGGCTATGTCAGGTTTTTCTGTTCTGCGTGGAGAACTTCTTTTGTGTCTGATCTAGTTTGGGAATGGCGTGGAGATTGTGCGTGGAGGGGATGCCTGGTTACTCGGATCTGTACGTATACTTGAACATCGAGGTGGTCATTGGTCTAGTTCAATGAAGTCCTTTTCTGCGAAGTCAAGTCGTACTCTAAATCCTTTGAGTTGTGATTGTGAGTGGCATATCGATTGTGGTTGGCCATTCTCTCTCGAGCGTAGTGGGGTCGTTTTGTCTTTAGATGTTCGTCCTTGGTGTTGTATTCTGATCTATGTATTGCATAATGTAATTTACATTTTATAAAACATTTATTAGTTTAATATTTTTTAATTATGATTTTAGTTAGTTGTTTTCACAAAAGCTTTTTGTTTTAGTTCGGTTATTTTGAAGAGTTACTCACACTTGAGTAGCTCTTATTAAAATTAGAGGTGTGGTCACGAAGCGTGGATGTAGCACGGTGGGTTAGGCCGGCTATAGAGCATGCTCAGGACGTCCTTCCTGGTGGGTTAGGCCAGGAGTGGGAGTATGATTTCATGCGGTTTTTGTGAGGGGTCCTGTTATGTGACAACGTTTTATGTTGGGTTTGTTGTGGTTTTTCTTATGTTTTGTTGGTTGTGTCCTTTTTTCAAAAATCAAATTGTTTGTGGTATGGGTTTGTCTTTCGACTTTTTTGTGTTTTATTATTTCTTTCTTAGACTTTATAATAGTCTTCAAAAGAATAAATTATCCAGTTTTAAACTGGGTTAATCCGGTTTGGGTACCGTTGGTTTCCTTTTCTTAGTCATGCTGTTATTCTATGATTTGTGGTATTTAGTAAGCTGCGTTGGTTAGTTTTGTTTAGTATATGATTCCTTTCCAACCGGGTTAAAGGAAAGTTTGAAACATGTTATTATATGTTAGAGTTGTTGAGTGTGAAAACTTGAAACTGAAATTCATTATTTTAAACAATTCTTCGTGGGCGAGCTGTGCGAGTGTGGATAGAATTTCTGTGCGAATGAATGAAAATATCAAAAGGTTAGTACTGCAATTGCATTTTATTAATTTACTGCATAGAATTTGGAAATTTACTGCTAGTTATGGGGGAATTTTAAGATACAAATTTTCATTATAATTAGATTTACTGCTTGTGGGGAAAATTTTAGAAATGAATTTACTGCATTGGTATTAAATTTATAAATTTATAAGTGTAAGAGATTAATAGAATTTTTGAAATCTGTTTGATGAAATTTGCGATTTTTATTTGTCTTTTGTGGTTTTTGTAGGTGATCGTCGGATGAAGGCTAAAAATCTAAAGAAAACATGAATAAAGTATGGTGAGTTTTTAATATTTCAATTAGTTAGTTATATTCATTTAATTCATACTTACCTGTTAGTCGTCGGGGAAAAAACCGTGGGGGAAGATGTCATGAATTAGTTCTGAAGTTGTTAGTAGTTTAGCTAAGATGCGGATGATATTTTTAGTCTGAAGCAGTGGCCAAAGCAATTGAAGTGCCTTAATAGTGGTTAGTTCTTCAGTGCCAACTGCAAACTCATAAGGTGTGTTTTGGATTAGATTATATAATTTGTGATTGAATTTAGTGTTGTGGATGAATTCTAAAATTGGGATTTCTATAGGTTGTACAAACTCGTGCGGGATAAGGAAGGGTCGGGATTCTTCGGCGTTGAAGGTCTTGGTGATGGGACAGAAGATGTACATTTGGGTTATGGGGTCATAATTACGAAGAATACCATGGAGGTTAGTGTCTTTAAAACAATATGTGAAATTTAGGAAAAATGGTGAAGTGTATTTGGAATTAATGAATTGAAAACGATGGTGTGGTTGTCTGGAGGGTGTGTGTAGGTCAAAGTGATTTTGGATGAAGCGATAATAACTATATGTGTGGGTTTGTTTAGTGCGCAACATAATATCGTGTGAGCAGTGTAAATCTCTTTCGTGTGGTGCAAGGAAATGAAAGGTTAGTGAAAATATTTGGAAGCGTTCTTTAAAACTTTCGTATGCTTGTGTGTCTGTTAGTGCTTCTGAAATAATGTGATCAAACTTTCGGTCGAAGATGTTTAGTGTAAATATATATGGTGTCTTGATGAAAAATTTCTCAGTAATTTGTGGATTAGCGAAGCGATCGTCGTCTAAGAATTGATCTTGGTTAGCTCTGATGATGTTGTGATCATAGTATTCGAGTGTATATTCGTTAGCTCTAGGTGCAGTGTGTGTTTTTAGTGATTTTTTATATCCAACGTAAGTAAATTGTCTAGCGGTTAGTGGTGTAGTGAGTCGATATAGCATGTCCGTATTTCGCTCTATATCGATGTGAGTGTTAGATAAAGGTAAGCAAAGAGGGTTAGTAAAATGATAATATGAGGTCCAAGAGAGAGTGGGCATTAAAACGTATTCATCTACAAAGTTGCGTGTTTCGTTAGTGTCGTGGGGGGTGTTTAAGGTGTATTGTGGGAATGAGGGTAAGGTGATGGCTAAAAATTCTTTTGTGTTAGTATGCTTGGGGTGGTTGATGTATTCACGGGCTGTTCCTGGTTTTGCTGGGAAAGGATGGTTGGGGAACTTTCTTTTAAAAGTGCGGTAAGCTCTATTAGTGTTGAGTGAAGATTCAGTTGATGTGGATGATGGTGCTAATGATTCAGTATAATTTGAAGAGGGTGTAGGGGTAGGTGGGTTGGATGAATTTATTGTGGAGGAGATTTGGTTTATGGTTGGGGTATTAAGGTGGTAGGGTTGTTGTTGAAGGGTAATAAAATTATCTAGCTCTGGGGAGATTCGGGGGGTGTCTGGAGAATGAGATGATTGGTCAGAATGGTATGAGGAGTAGGTTGGGGTAACTTGGGAAGCATAAGAGGGTGTGGGAGTGATGGGGTCAGGGTTATTGGATAATATGGGTTGAAAAGGGGGTTGAGAAAAATTAGAAGAGTTATGAAAATTATTGGATGGGGATGGTTCTGAGTCGGCAAATTCATCGGGGGTTTCAATATTCGGGTTATTGAGTTGTGAGATGGAATATAAAACTGAGATGTGTGAATTAGTGTCGGAATTCATGCCTGATGTTACATTACTAGATGGAAAATCGGGTGGCGGAAAAGCAAAAAGTGGTATTATTGGGATTGGAGAGGTAAGATTGGTTGGGTGGGAATTTGATCGGTGTAGTGATCCAAGTTGGCGGCTCATCGTGGGCTAAAAAAATGATTATTTTGAGACTGAAAAGCGGTGGTATGGGGTTGTTCAATAATTTGTTCATAAGTATTATCATCTTGTGACTGGTGTGTCATTATATGTTGGATGGGACTTTGTGATGTGGTGAGTCGAAAATTTGGATTATGTGTGATGGCTAAATTTCGAAAATTTCGTGGGACTAGGGATAGTGGATGGTTATTTGGTAGGGGTGGTAATTGTGGTGCCGTTGGCGTTATGTCTACATTGTTATGTTCTTCGTCGTATGTATTTTGTCGTGTTGCTATTTTTGTGTTATATTCCTTTATTTGTGCGTCTAAAAGAATTTTGTTTATAGATGTAGAAAAGATTCCAAAAAATCCTGCAAAGAGTATGCGTGCTACGCTTGCTTGTCTGTTTACTTGTGTGTGTATAGCACATGTGTTGTAGATTCCTTTTAAAAGTGAGAAAAGAAATCCAATAAAGTTAAACAT